CACACCCTCACCACGTCCTCACCACACCCAGCCTCACCCTCACCACGCCCTCACCACACCCAGCCACGCCCTCACCACACCCAGCCACGCCCTCGTCATGCCCTCACCTTGCAGAACGGGCCTTTCCTTGCACATGTGATTCACAGCACTGTCAGCTCAATCAGCTCGATCACGCTTTAGAAACCTCCCTGTTGCTTGCTGCCATCTGCTCAAGCCAGTCACAACAAGTGCAGATAATGCCTTGGTAGAAACTAGATTCCCCACCCATCTTTGAAATGACCAATCAGCTGAGTAATATTTACTGTAACAAGCAGTCAGTTATGTGGACTACAGAGTCCGGGACAAGAAGTAACACTTCTTTAGAGTTGTTTCATTGCGATCCTATGGTTACCTTCCAAACACATCAAAATGTATTCCCTGTTTTAACAATAACACGATCAAAAACACTGGGGGTGCCCGAGCACACACTGTGCCCGCAGAGCTGGGGCTCATGGGAAGGGGCAGGGGAATTTCCCAGTACTCACCTGGGCTACCCGTGTCCGCCATTTTGCACAAGCTCAGCTCGTAGATCCCCGTGACTCTGTTACTGTGAGCACAAATGGAGAGCCACGTTTTAGGGAAGGGTGACGGGCGGCGGCAGCATCAAGATGCAGAGTCCCAGCGGGATCACGGATCCTTACCAGTCGGGCGTCTTCGAGTAGCCGCTCCCGAACAGGCTCCTCAGCGAGCGCGGCGGGGAGATTTTGGCGTCCCGGGAGTAGAAGACCATGCACACGTCCTTGGTGATGACCGCGGGCTGGATGCAGTGGTCAAGCTGAAGTGCAAAGAAACAAAGCACCCCGAGTGTTGGCACATTTACACCTAAAACCCGTGTGTGTGCTGAGAGGAGGCACACAGCCCATTCGGCACTCCCAGTACACTCCACCGCTGAGCTCAGTCTCAAAGCAGCTGCCTTGAAATACAATGGATTCAGTCATCCTGACCTGAGTCTGTGCTAATAATCCTGCAACAAACCCAGTACCTATACAATATTCAAAGACACTGTAAATTAAACCCATACACACATAACTTTTCCTAACAAGCACAAGCACCCATCAAAATTTAAACATAACAAATGGCGGGCTGTAGTTTTTATTATTTAATTCACTGGAAAATCTTCAAGATGAACAGTATGCATATTGATATACACAACCGACCTTTGTCATTACAATATCTTTAGGTGTTAGTAAACAATATACAATATATAGTGAAGTCAGAGATGAGTCGTCTTTGACGAATGGCTTGAGTGCTGCATGCTATACTGGTTACACATCACATGCCAGACCTCAGTGCAGGCTGCCTGCAGTGATTAATCACTCAAAGGCACAGCACCGTGCAGAGGAGAGGAGAGCAGGAGCCCATCTCAATGTGCGCTCGCACTGGCCTTGGGCTCCTGCGCGGGATGATTGAGTGTGGCCTGCTATTCGCACAGAAACCCCGCCCGGGTCTGCGAAAGCTGGCACGGGTTCTGCGCAGAAGCCTGCAACAGAGCGGGGATCTGGCCAAGGGCTCACCTCCAGGTACGCAGACAGGGTCATGTAAATCTTCTCCCCGTACGGAGTCACTCGGTTGAGGAGGAGAGAGTTGTGCAGGGAGCTGTCCCACACTGCTTCAAAGCGGTAGAACGTCCTGAGGGCAGGAAGAAGAAAGCATGACTGAGTGGGTAAGGGGGGGCGACCACTAGATCTGTGACAGGACTAGTTCTTGCTTCGCAAAGCAAACAATAATACTTGTTGCAGAAAGGACTGTAAATTTTACTCATCTTGTCTGCTTTAATTATTATTCCAATTTATTGTTTTTTAAGACGCTCGTCAAAAAACAGAAATGAGAAATGAAAAAAAAGCCCGTTTTAGACTGTAGTACTTGATATGCACAACATACTTGCAGAAAAAGTATGCTTCAGAAGTATTATTTATTTTAACAGCAATAACCTTGGGATTCCAGGAGGCTTGGTTATTAAAAAGCAAAGTAAATTTGGGACAGAAATGTGTGCTTTCCCAGCAAAGCTGATGTCCCTATAATTCAATTTAGGAAAAAGAGGAAGCAGAAGAGCTGGAATGTAATTGTTTACTGGAGCCTGAAATACTGCACTCAGCAACACCACTCCATTAGAAAATGGAAATCGGTACCGAAGGGAGAGGAATGGATCCATAAAACTGACAAAGATATTTATAATCATAATGCGACAAAAAGAGACAAAACAATTTATTTCTCAATTAAAGGCGTGTTGTATTCGTATGGGGGAATAAATAACTCTGACTCATCTAGTGGCCTTGTGGCCCTATTCCTTTTGATATTTTCCGATCATCCACAATTACACTTTTTTTGTAGCCCTGTTAAAAAAAAACCCTCGACTGCTTCATGTTCTGCAGTTCGTGTCATATCAATTCATCACTCTCGGCTCAGCGCCGACGTGCGGCGCCCTCTCTGAAACTCAGCGACACATCCGCGTGGGTCACAGCGCCGGCCTGCTCCGACAGCACACTGACGATCTCATAAAAGACAGAGACGGCGCTGAGCCACGAAGTGTCGCTCACAATTCTATTCATTAAAACCCAGGGATGATAAACAAGAGCTCTTCTTTATGTCTCTAAGCTTTCAACTTCTGACGTCAACGTGATTGAAATTGAGTCACAGGTGCTGACATGAAATACAGCCGGGGTTTCTCATGCTCAGGGGACACAGATGCAGTCGGGCACATCAGCTTGCATTTTCCTTGTTTGTCTTTAATTTATATGAATCCTTCAACTCGGTAACTGCCCAACTGAGGCTCAGTCAAGCCCCTGGCAGCCTGAGACTGAGAAGCCCTGGCTGTGACAGAGAGAGGTCAGACTGAGGCCAGCACAGCCACATCATATCCTGTCTGTCCCCACAGGCTGCGTCAGCCAGACATCCGCCATCTCCTCACCTGCCTTCCTTCCACCCTGCCACCAGATCCACAATCCTTCTATCAAACACCGAACTACCAGCACAGCACTGCAGTACGTTATCAACCCAACAGAAGATCATTTTATTTCGTGTGTTGTTTAATGTAATACAATATGAATCGTAAAAACAAATGGTGATATCTTCTGTAGGCTAACTACACATATCATAAAAGTTCATTAATATTCTTCTACAATTTAATCCTCAAGGTCTGTGGATGCCCTTCCTTGGACTGGTTGCAACCTTTTTTATGCCTCTAATTACAGAATGTCTTCATCTCACGCAGACCAAGGTGGCTGTAGTCAACTGGGTGCTAATTTTAGAAACTAGTATTCCAGAGAGGTGAAATAATTACTAAACTGAGTTGCAGAACTACTGCAATTTGACAAAAATCCAAAGCCTTATCTACAAAGTTGATAGCAATTAAGTAAACAAGAAAACGAGCCTATGAGAAAGAAATGGAAAACTTAAAGCAAAACACAGATGCAGAACACAAAATAACACAAAGTGAGCCACATCAGCGTCTATCAAAGCACAGTTTAACAGTCTTCATAAAGCACTTCTTATAAAAAAAGTGCTTTATGTCGCCAGTTATAGCCAGAGGTTATACCTAGGAACATCCTTATCAAGACAAAGCCTGTGCAAAAAATGTCCATTAGCAGCATGAGGAGAAGAAAAGAGAAAAAAATAAGGCAGACAAATTTAAAGAAAGTAAAACTTAGCACATAACGATCAGCAGCACAGCAAAGCATAAAAAGCACAAAACAAAATAAGGAGAATAGAAAATGCAACACTAAATCAGCTTGGCATGAGAAGGCAAGACAAGCAGTACCATCAAAATCCAAGTGCAAATGAAGTGTTGTTTTGTGATAGACTTCTTCTGATACATACATAACTTTTTAGTTTTTTTTTGCTAAATGCTTAATATTGCTCTTAATTTGATTGCTTAATTCCACATCATACACATTATCAATATTTTCCATGATCGTGTCCTTCAACAATTTGCACTTCTTTCACCGCTGAAGGAAGGCTGTTCTCATATTCACATCACGGACATGGCAGATACGGGCACTGCTCACGCATCCTGCTGTATTCTGGCTTTACACCAGCAGGTGTCGCTCCTGCTCCTCAGTTTCCAGTGCACGTCAGTGGGAAAGACAAGCTACACGAGCGCTTAATCAACGGGAGAATACGTCTTAGGCGGGCAAATACTAAAGTTTACTTAGCATCAATGTTTAACATTTAACGCAGAAATCTGGCTACTCCATTTGTGACAGAGGCACCTGCAAAGACTGAAGGAAGCTACAGAATGATTTAAGAATGATATTTTTCTTCAAGGGTAAACAGACTTTTATCGTCTTGGGAGAGGAAGCCCAGAGAGCGCTCCCAGACTCCTGCATTGTGTGGGCAGCTGCTCTGCCACAGAATTCCTCGGATGCCATGTTCCAGCAATTACCAGACTCCCCTGCTCTCCCCCCAGAGCTCACACTTGGAATGAAGCAGTGTGTCGGAAATATAGCCGATACGCTAGCAGCGCTGTTGCTCCTTGACCATTCAGTGGACTACAGCCCCCCCGTTTCCCCTCACTCCAATAGGAGTCACTACAAAACGCTCGTTCCCCACTCTACTGGGACTGACCACTTCATCAGGATCCACGCTGAGGAAGAGCCCCTGCCCTCCTGCGGGCTGAGATCCCTGTTCACGTACCTGTTGGAGCTGTGAGAAGACTTAACATTCTTGGCTGAAATGATGTTTAGAGACAGCACAGCATCAACCGCAGTGTCATCGACTTCCGGTTTGTTCCTGATGCGACCTGGATCACAAGGAAACAAGCTCTTGATGAAAAATAACTGCTTTTTTTCAATGATCTAAAGAAAACAAACGTGAAACTTTTTTTCCTTAGTTCAAAATTGATCCGTAATTCAGACAGCAGAATCATCTTCTATCCAATTCTTCAGAAAAGCACCGCAGAAACAGATGAAGACAATTTCTTGATTCAGCTCAAATGCAAATGTCACATAGTAATAGTAATGATACATTTTATTTTGTATGGTGCCTTTAAAAGCAATCATCTCTAAGTAACTTTGAGTTTTTGCCTGGGGCTATTCTTTTATCATTAGACAGAAAGGGAAGCCTTCTCTGTATTTTCCAGATTCCCACACGGAAGTGACAGGAGTGCCCTGACCCATGAATCTCTGGGTTCCAACACTGGGTTGCCCTGATACTGGGCAACATTCACATACAGATAATGCAGAAATAATTGTGTTTTTTGACAAGTGACTCAAAATGATATACAGTAGGCCATTTAAAGGACGCGCGCCTACTGCTTTGGTTTTTACATTTACAATTCTGCTGGTCAGAATAATGCAGATTTCTCCTACTCAGCACTTAAGAGAGCATCCAATACAAACTACTACCTGCAAATAATACCGTAGCTGCATGACCATAGCGCTATTCCAACATGTGACCTTTAGAAAATGGAGGATTTCATGTAGATAGCATTCACTGTCTAAAGTTCTAACGCCTGTTTAGTATTCAGAAAATACCAGAAAATCGTCTGGTTTTATGTTCTGCCTTTCAGGGTAACACTGCCACTTCAGAACAGCTTCCCGTCAAGGTCACCTCCAGCACAGGGCCCTGCCGGTCGAGATGGAGCTGCAAGGTGGAGTCTGTGTTATTGTGTCTTGCACACTGGCTAGCCTGTGTGCAATCTGGCACTCGTCCCAGACCTTGCAGAAAGAAACCGCTATGAGACACTGGCCTCAGCTGACATCATTACTCCACAAGGGCCTCTGGAACAGATCCACACACCCATCTCTCAACACAGTTTTCTTTTTGCTTTGCATGGGCTGCTCATTTCTGCTGCACAAGCATTTGCTCTCCCAGTCTAACCCGCATCATTGCCAAATTAATCCCAATTTACGGAACCGACTGGATCTCAAGCATTTTCC